CGCTAAAGTTTCGTCGGAACGAAGCTACGGAAAGTTAATTAACAAACGGAGACGTAACAATATGTATCTAAAATTTTCTTCATTCATTGCTGTCAGAAAGTTTCTTTTCAGCACAATAATTTGGCCTCTCACAAAAATCAAATTTCCGTCATAAAAGTTTGTTGTGAAAACGCGGTACATAAATTTGACCCACGAACAAACCCAATAGAAGAAGAAAAATGAAGCAGAAATATTCGTAAAAAGGTGATAACAGTTTCATCTGGTCTGCTTAGACACAATTATTCTCTAGATACTAGCTGCGGTCTGAGAAATCGTTGATTGGGGCCTATTTATATTTTTGTAATGCGTTATTTTTCTTGGTTATTGTGCTATGTTAATTTGTTTATGACTAGATCTAGTTCGATTCAAATTACACAGGCTTGCGATGGTTTTATTGTCTTGAAATGTTTACGTGTTCCACAGTAATTCCTGTATGCTGAATCCGATAATGATATCCATTTTTCTCCATCACGTACATAAAAGAAAGACCACAACACGTAGTTTTGAGACTAAAAGACGTAGATTTCACACAAAAAAAATCAGGATGAATGAAGATTCATACTCGTTTGACATCAATGTTCTTCCCTTTTCTTTAGTTTGTTTATATTTTTGTTAACAAACATAATAACAAAAAATATTTATTGTGGTAAACGAAATAATAATTTGATCTAAGTAAGTAAGAGTTTTTTCTTCTTCCCTATTTGTAAAAAAATCCTTCCGTGATAGAAAAAAAATGAATATTATTTTCGAACTCTGCGTAACTGAATTATGAAAAATCCGTTATTAAAACCAAAATGACTTTTTGAAGTTTAAATTCGCAGGCCTGTGTTACCAAACTTTAATTTCTGAGCATTGTGTCTGTTCTTTTTTATGACAGGCTGCCAATAATTAAAGTTTTCAACGTTCAGTCAGACTGTTATAGACTGGTGCAACCAGTGGCAGCAAGTTTTCGAACAGATGCTGCACGCTGTGAGAAAGTGGCAAGACAAGTGGTGTACGCTTGCGCGCGAACTGCCGCTATTGTAATATATATCTGTTGTAGCAGGTTTTTCGGAAAGCTTCCGAGAGACAAGAAGACGTAACGGCTTTCCACGGCTTGTCAAAGACAAGACTTCTCGTCACTTTCAAAGTTTGAGGAACACTTCATATGACCTAGATAATTATGGCACTTTTATGGTTAATATTTATTGTTGCCGTACATGTTGTTCAGCCTGTCGATGGGCACAGAATTAATTCAATCAAACTACGACCGGAACTATATTCACCATTACCACTAGCTCAACAATACCGTGGTCAATGTAATCGACAACCTCTAGGTTACAACACCCCCAAAACCCCCGGAGACAACGGATTTCAAATAAACATTTCAGGAGACCCCCAGAAGTATGTTCCAGGAAAAGTTTATACAAGTAAGTAAATCACATGTTTTATTTTAAATGTGTTACATGCCAATTCACAACTTTTATGTAGTAAAATGTATTGAAAAACAAAGTTATTCAAATTAACATATCAATTTTAAGATACGGTTTCCTTAAATCACGGAAAAAGCGGAATACAATATTAAAATAAAAATTGCTGTAAGTTAAGCCCTTTTGTGTGGACCTGTTACCAGAATAGTGTTAACAGCTATACGTATATATATTGCTGAATTGTAGTTTAATTTTAACTACTTCAAGTAGTTAAAGAACGAAGAACGAAGGTTAAAGTACGTACCTGTCAAAGTCATTATCCTCAAATACCCCAGAAAGGGAGTGTGTGTGTGTGGGTGGGGGGATGGGGTGGGTGGGTAAGATGTTAATTTTTCCATAAGTCAATACATTCAGTAGCTTGTTTGTTTACGTAATCAAATCGCACGAGACATTTGAATCTATTTACCATGTGCCGTGATTTTTCGTGGCTCCAAACATAATTTGGCTATTGGACATAGGATTATTTTATGCATATGTCATATATATATATATATATATATAACTGAGAGACACTGTTGGATACTTCGAAAATGCACTTTGAAAGGATTGGAATTTTGTGAGAAGTACATAAACTCCTAAAATTATCGTGACTTCAATGAACATCTGGAAATCTATTAAGAAGTGAAGGATTTATTGATGGTATTGCTATTTGAGTGCTACTTTCTGTCTTACGTAAAGACAGTCAAAATAAAGAAATTAAAACGCAAGCTGCTATCTTAAAATTGTTGAATGAATCCATATTAATATTCAAAAATATTTTCAACAAAAATATAATTCATTCATTCGTATTATTTTAATTAATAAATTGATTTAATAGTGCAAGTAATCAATAAAACTGAATGATAAGCAATTTAAACTAATCGTCTTAATTCATTAAAATGTTACTTTTATAATTTATGAATAACGTCAGTAAACATTGCTTGAATATCGTCAACTCGATCAAGTTAGTGTTGTTTAAGGTATCAAACAGTAAAGGTGAAAATAATTTAATTTAAACCTAACTTTTAGAATCCAAAGTACAAAAATTGCGTTGTGAGTAATAATGTGTATCAACCAAAATATATTCAATATATAAATGAAACTCCAAGATTATATTCTTGTTGTGTATATTAATTATTCTATTGGGTACGTGGTGTTGTGATATATATATATATAAAAGACAAAACTACTATTGGACGGTTTGAGGAAATGATTGTGATGATTATGTAATTCCATGCTTTTAAGTAGAAACTAAAATACGAAGATAAGTTTCATAAAGTCATTTTGTAATTCTCGAGAGGCTCAGGAGAACTTTTTTTTTCCATTTCTAGTTATATTTCATATTACTCGGTGACAGTTATTTCTACACTAGGTGGAGTGTAATCTTATCAATACACTACCTAAAGTACACTAAATCACAGAAAGCTATTGCTGCCAAAGACATACTAACAATCTAACATCTCTCAAAATCCTGTCTTGGACATAACAAAGCCATTATCAGCTTTACTGGATCGACAAGCTATGAAAATCTCTAAGAACCCAGGACAACCTTTTAAGTGCTTTGCTAAATCTAGAGTACAGATAATTCGAACTGGTTTGGAAGAAATAAGTTGCCTTCCGTCACTTTTGATGATAATAATAATAACATCAAATATTTTGACGGCAGAATTTAAATTCGTGTAATCCAGGCTTAAGGAAGTGGAAACAAAAACTGAAAAAACACGGTATAACTGAAAACAATATTGCTGTGAAAACAGCCAACTTTACTTTGCTAAGGTATGCGTTTCAAGACACTGTTAGACAATTTGCCTAACAACTTACTTTAACACTTTCCATTAACACGTGAACCAGAACCTTTATAGTCCAGGAGTCAGATATGGTCACCGTACACCCATAACTGTATAAGACCGGTATTTCTTGTTCACAAAGATAGAGAACAGGTTATCAGGGATAGTAAGACACAAAGGATAAAGAGATAGCAATCAGAAAAAAGTTAACGAAAGGGAAAAAAGAATGGAAATGAAACAATTAAGTTGTTGTAAGATTCACAGTACAGGAATAGAACACGAAGAGCAGAGTATTTCCATCTTAGCCTGAGAAATTATCAGTAACGTTCTTTGTATGGTAGCCTAGTGTTACGAAACATTCATTTGGCCCTGAAAGGACAAAAAGTAATAGTCCATGGGACAGGTATGGTCACTGTGCACTCCCACCCACCCTAACAGTATAAGACCGGTATTTTTTCTTCCTTAAAGTCCATTCAAAAACAACAAAAAAAAGATGTTAAAGATTTGTTCTTGTTCAAGTTTTCTCTTATTTGTGATATATTCCAATGAAGATTTTTTGTTCATATTTAGCTTTGTTTTCTTGTTCAACTGGTTGTTTATTTTTATTAAGATGTTGAAATGTGTACATTGAGAAATGTCATATATGATAATACCTTCACTTTTCATATATTCTCAACCCATATTCATGATATAGTTACCAAAATATGAAAATATTCATGTACCTACTTTATATTTATATTATCTATTATAATCAAATTTTGATTCGCGCTAACTAAAATCACATGTTCATTAGTTAAAGTCGTGATTTTTAACGCAAAACGGACATGAGCGATATTTTAGTATATGCTTCCAGAAGCTGCTCTGTGGTGATACTTTATCGGGTATAGACCAATAATATATCATTTTAAAGGAAAATGTTCCCTCTTGCAAGTTATATTAATTATTAACAGTGATATTTACACCACATTGAAAAATAGGCCCAAAAACTATGACACCCCTTGTTTTCTGGAGCGTCAAAAACGTGTCGCAGGTTGCACGGCCCCTCCTATCAAAACAAGGTCTAAACAGATAGTTCAATTCAAGATATTTACTGTTAACATCTTTTTCGTTGTTGAATAGACTTTATGGAACAGCAACGACAAAAAATACCGGGGGGGGGGAGTGCACGGTGGACCATGGATTATTACTTTTTGTCCTTTCAGGGCCAAATGAATGTTTCGTAACACTAGGCTACCATACAAGAACGTTACTGATAATTTATCAGGCTAGGATGAAAAGACTCTGCTCTGCCCCCAGCGGCACAGCGATATGTCTACGGACTTACAACACTAGAAACCGGGTTTCAATACCCGTGGTGGGCAGAGCACAGATAG